TTGAGACGTCAGCATGACTGAAAATACTTTAGATAATTTCAGTCCATTTATGTTTTACTTATTGTATTTTATATTGTTCTTTTTTAGGTGGAAATGAAGATAAAAATGTTAAGAGTGTCTTGACTAAATTTGCCTCTTAAGTTCACTGTCAGAAAAATGTGGATGAATGAGTAAAAAGCTTAAAAGTTTCTGTATAAACTGGTTGAATTGAACAATGATTGACCTACAAATAAAAACAATTATGAGCAAAAGAGAATTATTTCCAAAATAGGAATGTACAAAGCCTGTTTTTCCTTTTTGTCACAGGAACTTATCATAATAATAAACTTGCTCTTGGACTGGGACTTGGACTACCAGCCATCATCATCATCATCATCGGTGTATGTTATTGGAAACGTAGACAAAGTAAGTCAGTCATTGTCTTTGTAAGTCATGCAGGCTTTGGGTGAATTAATGATTATCTCCATACATGCATAACTCCATTAGAAATTCAAGTTTTTTAAAAGTTTGTGAGAAACTGAACTTCCTTGTTGAATGTTAGTGACAAAATGTGATTGACTGTATATCATATGATTTGATGTAGCAGCAACGAACAGGTACCTGACTGCGTTAATCAAGACTCACCAGCATTCCCATTGACAGTGATATGAAGGTTTAGACCAGAGGTGTCCAATCTGTGGCCCCGGAGCCGCATGTGGCTCTTTAGGATCTCTGTTGTGGCTCCTAATAACTGGCTGAAAATGCTATGTTTAAAAAATGTCAAGGAAATTTAAAAACTATGCTTGCATTAGGAGCTTTTCCTAGGCGTTTTTATAACATGTATATTCCCCAGTTTCTGGTGTGTCACATTTTTGTCAACAAGCCAAAGTGCAAACTGTTTTTGTTTTTTTTTTATTTATACTTTGATGATTGTGATTATTCTTTTGGAAAACTAAAAATGAGAGTCGAAGAGAAGCATGAGTCTGATTTTACTCAAGTTACCTTAATGATAATGCAACTGTAGAATATCAAACCATCAGAGGAAGATGATGTTATTGAAAAGACTGTTCTGTGTTTCATACATGGTATAGAAAATGGCAACCCACCTGTGGATGATGGGGTTTTATAGGACCCAGGACAAAATCAACCAGACCAAACTGCCTGAATTACCTCTACTATACTGAAGTCTCTACAAGCATTTGCATGTATGGGTAAGAAAACTAGTACATGTATACTGATTAAAAAGAAAAAAAAAGTTGCTGCCTTGAAACCAACAGGAATTATTTTACTCAAAAAGACAATTTTGAGATTACAGAAAGGATGATGAAGCCATGGGTTTATCCTTTGTGTATCCATAGATGTTACTCTATTTTAGTCTCTCACTCAGCTTACAAAGTTTTGATAACTTTTGGGTCTTGAAAAATATTTTTCTAATACATGCAAATGTTGACTGATTTGATGTCCAGATTGTGCAAACAAAAGGTTTTTAATTTCATTTCTATCTGGGAATCTTGTTTTAATGCTCACTCTTCTTATGTGAATAGCCGAAGATTAGTGGGTTTTATTATGACTTTGCACATTTGCTGTCTAGTTTTTCAAGTGACTTCACTAGTTCTCTCTTTCTTCTATATTGAGAATTGTTGATTTATTATGAAGTAAATCAAACTCTTTAGGCTGCGAGAGTAACTGAACTTTATCTAACTCTGGGCCAGGGTTCTGTTCATGTTGAGAAAGGTCCGATTGCACTGACATTTATATTATCAAACCAATGAGACTTTTTATAATTCATTGAACTGAGTCTTAATATGGCTCTTTAATGTAGGAATAAATGGCTGCTGCAAAGTTATAGACTGTGAATAAAACTGAGCTCTTTATACTTTATACTATGTATATCCTACTAACTTCTCAGAAATCAAATGGCTCTTATTTTAAAAGCAGGTGTTTCAACTAGCCAACATCAAAATCCAACATGGCGGCTCCCCTGTGCTGCCAACTCAAACTTTTCTGGAGAGATTGAAGCTGTTCCTCTATTTCACACTTTGATACGCTGCCTAGAAAAAGGAAACGGCCCCACAAGAAAATGAAAGGGCATTTTCTTTTTTGTTCTTGTTTTGTGAAATTTTAAAACAGGATTGGGGTGATCGGTGACAAATAATGACAACACGCTGTTCTGCTAGAATAAATGTGTCCTTTCATTCCGCCACAGATTACAGCAAACTCATTCACACAGCAAACAATACGTGGTGCATAAATTCCTTCAAACCCGCTCTTACCATTATAGAAAGAACTGGAGAGCCAACAGCGATCGCAAACACGTGGGTGGGATCCGTACAAAACCCAGAGCAGAGACTCTACCGAACAAAGAGCCTTTTCCCCTCTGCCAGACGGGTCAGCCAATCAGAATGCTACTTCCCTGTTCACGACCCCCGTTGTCCATGACCTCCAGAGTTACAACCAGGAGCTCAGAGTGTGACCGATTAGCATGCAGTAACCAGTTCCTTTGAAATGTGTTGAAAACGCCTCATGAAACATAAATTGTATGTTTCATGAGCGTGAAACATACAATTTATCAAAGAACATAGAACATTTTTAAAGCAGCTCTATAATTCAAATAGAAACTGTAAAAGGTATGAATTATTAATGCAGAATTTTATTAACAACTTATAAAAACAAGCAAAATACTTTCTACAAAGTAAAGATTTTGGGGCCTGAATTAAAAGGTGTTTGTTATTAAAAAGCCATATTTTCAGTCGGAGGCATGTTTTGTAAATAATATACATGATGTCTAACAGAATCTGATATTCATTTTATTTTGTCTGGTGAACTTTTACTACTACGTCTAATACAATGGCTTTATGCAAAGACCAAACTTTGACAGGGTGTGCATAAGACTGACATGACACTGTTATGAACATGAAAGAGTCTTTATGAATGTCTTAATGTCATTAAGTGTCATACGGTAAATAATGACACTTTTAATATAAAGTTGCTCTAAAAGTTGCTTTAAATGTGCCAACTTTGCATTATTTTACTTTGACATTTTACTGCAAAATTGTCATTTGAATAGACTTTTAATGCAACTTTTAGACTAACCTTGCATTGAAAGTGTCCTTATTTACAGCAGTGGTTCCCAAAGATTTTCTGGGCCCCCCTATTGTTTACAAAACTAGTTGAAGTATTAATGAGTTTGTATAGTGGTATGAAACAGACTGAGCATGTACTTGGGAGAACTGACTGGCAGCTATTATTGCTAGTTTACATGTTAATCTCAAACAAAAAAATATGTATTAGGAAAAATAATTTATATTTTTATTTTTGTTTTTACTTTTTTAGAAAACACTAAAACATTGTCTGTTGTATTAATAAATGTTTTACATGTAAAATCCTGAGAAATTTTGATTCTTGAGAATAAAAACTCTTTAAAAACATTGTTGCATTTCTTTTTAAATATATTATTCAAATTAAATTCAATATATTCTTACAGATCTGAAATGTAACCACAGAGATGAAGCAGGAAGCAGAGCGGCCATTTTGTCAAAGCCAAACGAAAACAAAGCAAATCACTGAAGCTACATGTACTTATGTTGATCTATTTGGGAATCTATTTTAATTTTCCTTGCACTAGTTTTGTGCCACTGTACAGTTTCTCACTAGTAATAATATAAATTAAACAAAAGAAAATGTGTTCTTATAGGATAAAACTTTTCAAGAATATGAGCTCCTAGAAAAGATTGTTAATATGCAGTTTATTTCTGCTTCACTTTCTGCCATTATTGTTCTGACTGTGAGGCTCCAAAGACTCTGAGCCTGAGAATCACATGAGATGAACACATTGATGCTCTCAGCCCAAATCAAATGTTATTTTATTTCCTGTTTCCTCTGTTAAGTCTGTGCAGGTTTATGATGCTGAGCAGAGCATATTAGAACATTTTAAAACAATGTCTTGCATGGATTTCATGTGTTTGTGGTGGAAACAGACATGCAAGTACTGCATGAAGTTTGATGATAAATTAACATTTTCAGGTAACAAAGAAGTAATTTGACTTTTAAGTTTTCAGAAAAAAGACCAAAATTAAGAAAACATACTTAATAAGAAAAAAAAAAAGAAAAAGACACAAGTCCCAGCCAGTAATTACAAAAACTATATTTTACCAAGTATTTTTGGTTTACATTCCAGAGCAAATATCTTAGTACACTTGATGTAGTGACTAAAATCCTATATTTTAGACTACTGGTTACTGTTGTTCCTGCTGGACTTTGGTTTTATGTGCACTCAATCAAGATTTGTTATGCTGATCTTCATCTGGACTTGTAATCATAAAGACATTTATTTCTTTTACAATGTCCATTGTCTTGCCATTTTCATTGAGAGCCAAATAAATCAGACATAACTCTAAACCATTTTACTCTTTCCATTAGCAACAGAATGACAGAATCACTCTTCATCCTTTCGACAAACTCTATGCACAAAATAAAATATTTCATGTAATAGAAAATTTCGTTTTAGCCTTATTTCATCTTTGATGGAACTAATGATACTTTTTACCATTTATTTACAGATTAATATGCTGTGTTTTGTCATTTCTGCAAGACGTGTTTTTTCCATTAAAGAAGTTTCCAGATAATGTTTAGATGTTTCCGCAGCTGTGATAGTTTAAGACACATCTTGAGTAAAATGCTTAACCTGGTAATTGTCTTAAAGGACTGATGTGTGGAATGTAGTTTGCACCCTATTTGACCCTGAACCCATGACTAACTGGAGAATCAGAAGTTTCTCTTGAAATCCTTATTTTCTGCTATAAAATCATTTCCTCCAAGAGGTGAGGGATAGTTCCTGAGGTGGAGGTTCGGATCACGTTTGTGGTCGATCTGGCAATAGAGATAAGATCAGACTTTATAACGATGTTATGTGACTGCATTCAGTGAGACGGGTCTTTGAACGCTTTAGCCTTCGAATAAAGAAACTTAAAGACAAAGATTAATCTTTCTCTAATTATTGAAACAGATTTTTATTCCTCAGTAACAAATTCTACAACTGGCATATAGTGGAAATAAACACAGGAAAACAAGATAAATGACTCCGACACTTGAGATGAGACAAAACTAACAGGTACCTTTTCAGTAAGATAAGAAAGCTTGCTTGAAATAAATAATTCTTTAATATAGACAAAAAAGTTCTACTTCTGAGTGCCGAATACTTATTCATCAATATTAAGGAATTATTGACTGTATACATACACACACGAACACACACTTTGTGTGTGTGTTTTATGTAGTGAATTTAAACCATGTAACTTTAATAGATTTTTTGCCACAGTGGATTCATTTGCTTCGCTGCCTCAGGTGAGATCCTGTGAGTTCAGCATCAAAAACGGGTTTAAGTAGAGGTGTGTCTTCATGTTTTTGTCTTTGTCCTGCTGTCTCACTCCTTGCTGTATCTTGTCCTGCTGCCTCACTCCTTGCCCTACCTACACAACACACGATAACCACAGACTGTTATCAACACAAGATTTCACTTAAATATGAAGCCAAATGTAGATGTTGCTGCTTTTTTACACTCAAAATAAGAAGAGGTTCATTGTTCAAGCATCAAACATCAGGACTGAATACATACACATTAGTAACAAACACCATTAAAATATAACATCATAAACACACTGACATGTTTGATGTTTGTTGAATTTTAATGTTTTATAGAAAATAAATGTATTTGCTTACATTTCCATAAGAGAAATCCTCCAGCAGCAACGATGACGATGGCGATGACAATTATGGTAACTGGAAGAAACCAAAAGTTATAAAATGCATATCAAATGTGATTTTCTATAGTTACATTATTTCTATGTTTACTTCTTGTACCATAATTTCAGTGTTAAAAATCTGTTCTTAAAGTTTGGAAAAGTTTAATGATCTTATTTTCTCCACCCATGGAAAGGCTCTGATATACTCACTTGCTTCTGTTGATGAGTCTTTCTTTAAATCCTTCCTTTGGTGACCAGGATCTACTTTATCTGGAACAGAGTCACAGACATGTTGTCAAAATGTTACTCATGTAGGTCAGAGCTTGGTTTCTGAAAATACCAGAAATCTGGTTAAAAAGAACATACAAGACAAAGTGAATTTGGTTGCTCACTCACATATCTGAATATAATTCAGGATGTTGTGCATTACATAAAACAATCAGAACAATTGTGAACATTTGCCGTATCTAAACAACACAAGATAACAGTTGTGATAGCAAAGCATGTCTGTAGATCATGGCTATGCTCAACTTATAACGTCTCCTTCTACACAAACACACAATGTGCTTCTGTGTAGGGTATGTCTCTTTTTGGGTAAAGAGGGTAGAGAATATTTTCATTTAAAAAATACTTAAAAACCGAAATCAGAAATTTTAACACTACTTTGAGTTAGTTCACATAAAATCCCAAGAAAATCTATCTCTCACTTTCAACATGACAAAAACCAAAAGTATTTTTCTTGGTTTATCTGCTTTAAATGAACAGAACTCACCAACATTCAGGGGAACTTGATCTTGACATTTTAACACTTTGCAGGTGTAAGTTCCTGCATCATCTTTAGTTATATTAATTAGTTTCAGAGAAATGTTTCCTTGGACCAATTCTTGGTGGAAGACAGACGTTCGACCTTTGAACTGTTGATCTTGAGAGTAGACATCATCATCACGGCTTCGATATAGATGCGCCACTTTCTTCCCGAGTTTCCACTCCACCGTCTTGTTTGTGACGTCCTGCTTCGGCTTCATGTGGCACAGCAGGACGACATCCTCCTTCTCCTTTGCTGTGACTGGCGTGGGGGAACCAATCACCTCACACTCAACTGGAGAAATCATAAAATAAAATATGTAAACCAAAATGAAACATGACAAGATCTGTTGCTGCTGGCAGTTTGTTATTCATTGTAATAAACATATTCTGAGCTCAGAGCTTCTACTTTCATTTTTCATTTTTCCTCAGGTTTTAGCCAGTCAGTGAACATGGATATTTCTGCTGACTCAGCTTATGTCATCATAAAACTGAATTAGGTTTACAGGATCAGTTAATTATGAAGGAATCTGCATAACAAGGCAAAAGGTCCCTTCATTTGATTAGCTTGGAAACGCATCACTAGTCATGTGACCTCACACAGGTCAGAACAAATGCAAAGTTAGTTTGGAAAATCTAAACGCAACAGAAATTATTTTTCATTCAGGTGGATTTTGATGTAAAATAAAAAACATTTCTAAGATAAATTTACAGTGGATATTTGAAATATGCCTGATCTAAGGAATTCATCCAGTGTCTACAGCTGATTACAAGGCATCTGGGAAAGATCAGAGTCGTACCTGATCTAAAACCACATTTATAAATGGTGTAGTGGCGATTGTTTGTTCAACCAAACATCCAAATAAAAAGTTCCATCAGCCACTATGAGGCAATGGGGTCCAGATTCTTGACACAGGCAAAAGAAGTTTAAGGTCCAAACTTGCTGATTGTCTTGGTTGCTTTTATTTTCCTTTTATGCAAGCAATTACAATGATCAAACTTTTCTTTGTTCTCCTGCTGATCTCTCTCTCTTGCGCTGGTGAAAACCATAGGCCCCAAACCCAAATGCCTGTTGGTCCTTTACCAGGCCCCTACATTTATAGAAGGTGGACTGACCCACCTCACTTCCTGTCTGGCTTACAAATAAAAAATAGGGAAAGATAAGAAAACAAAAGAAAAACCTGCAAATAAACTCTGTAAATAATGCAAAAAATAGAAGTTTAAGAATAAACTAACACAATTCAAATGGATAAAGAAATAAAGAATAAATAGCTCCAACAAATGGCCTGGGTTGCATTTATACAAATCCTGTCTATGTTGTTCAGACTCATGAAAAGATCAGATAGAGATCACATAACAGCAAAAACTGTGGATTTGGGTCACTTCAGGCTGTGATGCAAACACAACCAAGTCTGATACTAAAACTTTTTAGATTATAAAATGTTCTGATTGGGGGCCACACAAAGTCATTCCACGGACTGCAAATGGCCCCTAATCCACATGTTTACACCCCTGCTAGACGGAAAATAGTTCTTGAATAAAAGCAGAGATTTGATCTACTTTCTTTATGATTTTTTTTATTTAACATTTTAAATTTATCACATTGTCTGAGCTTTTATTAGAAAAACATAAACGCCATGAATAAGAACTTCTCACCTGAAACATGACGTAGATGCACAGGTAACCCACCTTACACCTGACGCTCGACAGCTTTAAGCATTGTTTGTAATGATTGGATGAGGGTTAAAATCAATGTCAAATATTTTGGCGTTGATGTAAAGATAAATATGTGGACTCAAAATGAAAAATCACAAGATGGCGAAATAGTTGGAACATACCTCTCGCTTCGGCGATGGGAAAAAAGAAAAATCGGACCGTGAGCCAAACAGAAAACAGAAAAACCCGGATTATCATTTTTGAGTCCTGAACAGAAAAGTTCAGGAGTCGGATTTAAAAGTTAAAAGTTACCAAAAAGTGATCAAGCGTTGGTTCTTCTTGGAGCGATAGTTTTAAAAAGCATACAGCACGATCAGAAAAACTCTTTCGCTTTCCCGATCAACGAATAGAAATGATGACAGGAAATGCAAATTACAAATAAACAAACCAGCAAACAAATAGATCAGGCTACTTGTGGTAAATAATTTGAACAGTACAGGAGTCAATGTCAAGTTAAATGTGGACAGATAAGGCCATTTTAAAAAATCATTTAAACGCAAACATTTTTATTTTACTAAAGAGACGCATTCTGCCCAGCAGATGGCGACAAATTGCCTTTCATTATTTTCAATTCATATTTTTTAAATGTTTTAACTTCTTGGCTATTTATATGGAGACAAATATATTTCCACTTATAATTTTACCTGAACTGAAGAAAAACAGATTGGACACATCCCAGAGCCTTAGCTAGAGAGTAATATTAATTTAATTTTTAATATCAGGGACTTATAAAAAACATAAGTGGGAACATAAACTACATTAAAAATTACATGTATCTATTGTTTATTATTATTGTTTATTTTGAATAACTAGCTAACTAGCTTATAACTATTACATAATACTATACATTTCAATAAAACTTAAGGAAGCACAATAAATGTAGATTACTATAATCAATGAAAATAGCTGGCATGTTCAAAAAGCAGTGAGAAAAAGCACATTTTATTTCTCTTCACTGCTTTTATGCTTTATTAAGAGAAAAAAGGCCATTTAGAAATAAAATACTGGTTTTGCACATCAGATTTGCAGTTTTGTTAATTGTAACTCATGAGAAAACAGATGCGTGAGGTCTAAAATAGACCTCACGACTCGAAACGACTTAAATCCAAGCAAATAAGCTGTTGCCTCTGTGTTCTGAAGTCCTGGTCCAGCCGTCTCCACAATGTGTCTTAATTTTAGAACCTTATTCTGCAGCAATCTTCTTGATAATCCAGCTCCGTCTTCTACTGCCAAACGTGCCTCGAAAATTAAAGGTTCTTCTAAAAGCCAAAACAAAGACGCAGTTGGTTCTAATCTTTTCCACCCAAAAATTGTCCAAGCTCTAAATAAACTTTTGTAAAATAATGACATTTCATACAATAATAATATTTTACAATTTAATAAAAATAGAGAAACGTCTAATCCAAAAAACCCCTACTCTTTTCAAAATGAAACTCATTACTGGCTTCCACAAAACATCTTCCTCCCTTCCCATTAAATATTTCTGAATAATCTGAAGCCTAAAAGCAGCAGCTCTACTCTCTAAATGAACTAATCAATGTCCACCTTCTTCTTCAGGTAAGAAAAGCACAGATTTGGAAACCCAATGTTTATCATCCCCAAAAAATCTAAGCTTGCTGGATTGAATTCTGTATCTTCATCTCCCAAATACACACCAAGACACTTTAGATAGATGTTAATGTTAATAGATTGAGGAAACCCACTGAGCCAGCTTCCTGTCACCAAAGCTTCACTTTTAGCCCAATTAACACGGGCAGCTGACAATTTACAAAATAAATCCACAACACTACATAAATGATTCACTTCTTCTTGATTTTTAACTATAATAATAATATCATCCGCATAAGCTGATAAAGAAAAAGACATATTACACTTTGGTAAAACCAATCCCTCAATATTTAACCTGATTTTCTTTAACAATGGTTCAATTGAAAGAGCATATAACATTCCAGACAAAGAACAACCTTGTCGAACACCTCTCTTAACTTTAAAAGGTTTACACAGACAACCATTAATTTTCAGTACACTTTCAATGTTTTCATATAGAACCATAATCTTGGCAATAAATCCAGAGTCTAGACCAAACCTCTCCAACACCTTCCACAGGTACTGGTGCTCAACTCTGTCAAAAGCCTTTTCCTGGTCCAAAGAAATCAAACCAGCATTGCATTCAAATGATCTGGAGACATCCAAAATGTCTCTAATAAAAGAAATATTATCAAGCATTGATCTGCCAGGAACACAGTAAGTTTGTGTTTGATGAACCATCTGATTCATTCCCTTTTTCAGTCTGTTTGCCAGCACCTTTGACAACAGTTTATAGTCTGTACAAAGTAGAGAAACAAGTCTCCAGTTTTTAATGTCTTGAAGATCACCTTTCTTTGGTAACACTGTAAGAACTGCTGTCCTGCAGCTTTGTGGTAGAACACCTTTAGCAAAACTCTCCTCAAAAACCTCCAAGAGGTCAAAGCAAAGTTCAGACCAGAAAGTTCTGTAAAATTCACTGGGAAGACCATCAATGCCAGGTGCTTTCCCTCCTTCCATGCTTTGCAATGCAGTATGAATCTCCTCCAAAGTTATAGGCTCCCCAACTCCTTGGCGAAATCCACCGAAACTCTTGGAAGATCATTGCAAAAGTCGTTGAAGTTGTCTTCATCTTCAATGTATTCAGAGCTGTACAGATCGGCATAAAAATCTGCAGCTCTCCGCCTGATGTCACCGTCTTCAGTCAGAAGAAGATCCGCTGTCGATTTTAACCCATGTATAAACTTGCACTGTCCTTGCTTTTTCTCCAATGAGAAGTTTGTTGGAGTGTCCATTAAAGCAATCTTCTGAAATCTGCTTCGAACCAGCGCGCCCTGTGTTTTTGAACCCAGCAATTCAGCTAAAGAAGCTTTTTTTGACTTGAGGTTTTCAAAATAACCCCGATCCCCTGTGGATTGTGCAGAAGCCTGCAACTCCACTATTTCAATCTCCAGATCTCTAATAGACTTGGTTAATCTAGATGAAACATTAACAGTGTACTGTTGACAAAGTTCTTTAATTTCAATTTTCCCACGATCCCACCACTGCCCTAAAGATACAAAGTCCTCTTTTCTAGTTTTGTACCTTCTCCAAAAATAAATAAAAGTTTCCTTAAAATTTGTATCCAACAACAAAGCAGTATTAAAATGCCAAAAAGCAGATTTATGTTTAATATTGGCAATAAATGCACTACAAGAAACCAACGCAAGATCTGAAAACCTTACAGGATGAATACTACAGGTTTGAAAAATTCCAAAATTATGTCTGAAACTGTATATTCTATCCAACCTAGCTGCAGAAAACGAATCTAGCCCAAGTATATTGTATTTTATGATTGTGCATTTCTCTCCAAATATCAACCAAAGAAAATAAAACAATCAAATGTTTCATAAACATTGTCAAAGCTGGATGAGGTTCGAAATGATTATTATCCAACTGACCATTTTCAGTACAGTTAAAATTCTCGCCCAAAAACAGAAAATCATCCATGTCACACTTACTCAAAAAGTCTTCAAGTTCATTTGACAAACGAATCCTCCCTCCTCTTGTATTCGGAGCATAAATATTTACAAAAACAATATTAAAACACTCATATTTTGCTTTCACCACCATTAATCTACCTTTGATTACTTCTTCGACTTGATAAGACACAGGTAGAAAATTTTTCGAAAACAGAATTGCAACTCCCCCGCTGGTCTGACTTAAATGACTCAAAATAATATCTGCCCCCCATTCTCTCTTCCAATCTATTTCATTTAAACAATCACTATGTGTCTCTTGTACCATTAAAACATTTATCTTTTTCAAATTCATTAATTCAAAAACATTGATTCTCTTTTTCACATCTCTATAGCTCCATTCAGATTTAAAGTAGAAACTCTGAAGTGGCTCATTACAAAAAATTAGAAAAAAAAACCATCAAAGGAAAAACAAACAAACACGATATTTAAACTTCAAACTCATCGTCGTTGTTGAATTCTTGCTTAAGTTTTCCGATCAGTTTTTTTAACTGGTAAACTTCTTTATCATTATATCCCCCTTTTACTGAAATCTCACATGCGTGAAAAAAAGTTTCTTGTCAGGAAAAAATTTTTCTATTTTTACATTTTCATATTCTTAGTAACTTTTAAAAAATGTTTAACATTCAGTACACCATAACCTTTCCTTTGTTGACTTTGGACAAGGGAAATTACAAGATGAGGCCAAACTATCTTCAGTCCAACCTTCATCTTCACCTTCCTCTTCCTCCTCTTCCACATTACTTTCTAATTCTAGAACTTTTCCTGAACATTCTAAGTCTGAATCTCTTCCATCATGTTCAATCTGAGAACCAAAAAGATCTTCAGAAAATTTCCTCTTTTTAGCAAATCCCAAACCATCTTCCTCCGTTGTTTGACTGCATCCCTCATCCTCTTTTTCTTCAGTATTTGCTTTCTCCTGAAGAGACTTTAGTAAACTCTGACTGTCCCTCCTCACTGTTATCTTCCTGCTTTTCCTGTAAATCATTCACTGTTTGGTTTTTCAAAACAAATTCTCCATCTTCTGACAAGCATGTCTCATTCATATCTTTTTTCTCAGACGTTTGCCCTTCTATTTCTTTTGTCACTGCGCTCCCCGAACTTGTGGCCTCAACTTGATTCTGCAAATTGTCGCTCTCTTTATCTGGAGTTTGTGCCAAATTTTCAGGAGGATTTTTCCCAGGACATGCTCGAACCAAGTGACCAACTTCCCCGCAACCAAAACACACCAGAGTGCCCGAGTTTACATAAATAGCATAATCAAACTCATCCACTCGCACATTTAGAACTAAGTTCTTCATTCTTTTTATTTAGAATCATAAGGACCTGTCTTCTATGTGAAACAATTATGGTGATTTACAACCTGACGGCATTTTTCTGATTGCAGAAACAATTTTTCCATGTCGTGACAATTCTCTCACCAACAATTCATCACTGATGAACGGAGGTATATTTGCAATCGTGACTTTTTTAGCCGGGGTGCTTAATGGTGAAACAGACAAACAATGCCTTTTTCAATCACTTTGTTTGCCTTCTCCACGCTGTCAACAGAAATGACCACCGCGCTGTTCATCCGAGCAGCTGATTTAATGCTGCTGCAGCCCACAACTTCTCCCACCGCCAAACTACATTCCTGCACTGTCATAGTAGGACTATTAGGCATGATCTTTAATCCATGTTGTCTCGCAAGTTTGGTCAAATCCATTTCCGGCATTTTGCACCAAAAGGCGAAAATGCCGGTGTTACGCACAAAAAAATTAACCAAGTTCACTTATTCTAACTCCACAACCACAATATTTAAAGAACAAAACCCATAATAAACCAGCAAGAGAAAGAAGAAAGTAAAGTTAGAAATTCTCAATCCCTCAGTCCACTCGTCACAAGAATGCACACCACAAGCTGATCAGCTTGTGGTGTGCATTCTTTCGCATGCAGTGAGAAAGAAAGAAAGAAAGAAAGAAAGAAAGAAAGAAAGAAAGAAAGAAAGAAAGAAAGAAAGAAAGAAAGAAAGAAAGAAACAAAGAAAGAAAGAAAGAAAGAAACAAAGAAACAAAGAAAGAACAAAGAAACAAAGAAAGAAACAAAGAAACAAAGAAAGAAACAAAGAAAGAAGAAAACCTGCAGGACTCCTTTAGGCTCTTTAACAAGTAAACAAAGGCTCCTTTTATTCCACTGGAGTCAAACTGCAGTCAATTTGTAAATGCTGCAATAATTGATTCTGATGAGGCATTTGGTTTATACATGACAGTAGAAATCGGCCAGCAAGGTATCCCACAATGCAATGCAGCAGCAACAAATTAAACTACTTTTTTATTTGTCACAAAATGTGTTTTAAGATGCTTAATGTGTAAATGTAGAGTCCAAAGTCTCATCTGTGGAGCAAGTTCATGAAGAACAAGGTTACTGAGACTAGAGCACTTTTTGGCTGGTTTGTAGCATTTACATTTGCATACATGAAACTACACCATGATTGAGTTTTATGCTCATTTTCATTATCCTGCTCCATCTGAGATGTTGGTTTTATCAAAAAAATGGTAAAGAAACTATCACTGTTTAATATATTTTCTGTCAAAGTTTGAGCAGAAAAACAAAACAATAGCAGGAGCCAGGAACTGTTTAAATCAAGCATTTTATTTTTGTTTACCCGGTAAGTTGTTTCTAGTTTTAAAAAAAAAAACTATTTCTGATTAAGTAACTACAATATACTCATATTTATTAATTTAATGTAATATTTTACAACACTAAAAAAGTTGATTAATTCACACACATTTCAGTTTTGCTTGATCTACTTGACAAAATTAATTTCAATTTACTTGGATTTTCTTTTTATGTAACAATATAAGAACAAAGAAAAGTATTGCCTGATAAACATAAACAACCTAATGCAACTATTTGCACTATTTATTTAATTAGACAGAAAACTGGAGGAATCTGAGACCCTTCAAGGTTTGCACTAGGACACTGCAGACCTTTCAGTCTGTTGGTGAGAGCGCCATCTGTTGGAGCAGCAGCATCAGAGCAGGAACTAAAAAGGCTCAACAGTCTGATAAAAAGTTCTGGTTCTGTTCTGGGAACAACTGTGTGACCTCTGCAGATGGCAAAGTAAAGAAGGATTATTGATCAAAATCAATAAAATGATGAACAATCCTGATCATCCTCTTCATGAGTCTGAAGGCAGAAATCTTCACATTTACTGTGTTACAGACAATCAGGAGGTTTTCCTGCCATCAGGATCCACAATGACTTCTGAAGAATCTGAATTTATTTCACTTACAACATTTAATTTCCCTTCAGGATCAATGAATTATTTTTGAATCTGAACTTGTTCTGTTTCTGTAATTTGTTGTGCAGCTTGATGATGATCTGTGTCTCAGTGGATAAACTGAGGATTAAATAATAAATTAACATACAGACTATATGACTGTTATCTCACTTCCTTAACAATATTAAAGTTTGAAGCTTCCTGGACTCTGAGCTGAACACCAGCTCCACCCACATGCACAACACCGAAAGAAAAACTACAAACTCACTTTGACTCGATCTCATCTCGGTCATTTAGAGGCTTCAGTGCTGATCAAATCTTCATTAAAATACTTAAAAGAAAATCAGAAATCTCTTTACCAGACAGACAAAGGTTATGGGATTTTCTTCTCATCTTCTGGATGATCAGTTTGCTGCCCATTGCAGATCAAGGTACGTGACGTTATTCTCCAGGAAGAGAAAACTCTCTTCCTTTTCTCCTTGGGTTTTACACAGCATAGCGGTTATATCTTAAAACAACACTAACATTTAATGAACTTGTGTGTAAATAAAATACGCATCAAGACCCAGACTTAGTCTGATATCCAGGTACTTTAGTTCAGTAGAACTACATGTCCTTTATAAAAGGGTTTAATAGTAGCTGTTCTGGGACAGGGTCTCCTAACTTTTTCTTCTGGCAAAATTTCTTTTTTTTTCTTTTAATTAGACGAGTATTTACTTCTTTTCTTTTCTAGAGATTTATAAAAAAGAATGACTAAACATCAATTTGTGGAATAAAACAAAACAGAAAAAATGTGAGCATTTGTTTTGAAAGAACTCAATAATCCTGTATTTTCCCAACAGTTTTTACAACTGTAATCATTTAAAGGATAATAGATGAGCAACAATGTATTTACTCCTGTGGGACAATAAAGAATATTGTTGTAAAAGAATTATGTTTTTCTATAATTGATTTATTAAACTATTCTGACAACTAACCAGACAAAAAAATGGCATATTCTGCAGATAGAGACTTAGAGACTTAGACTTAGACTTGACTTTATTGATCCCTTGGGAAGACTCCCTCAGGAAATTATAGTTACCAGCAGCTCACAGGCAAAAATGTGGCACACAGTAAGCATACACAAAATACAAAAAAATACAAATTAAATACAAAACAAAGAATATAAATACAACACAAAAGGAAATTATAGCAATTTGGTCGATAGATTGACCAGTGATATGGTATTGCACTGTATGGTTTGGCCTGATAAATATGGAGTTCACATTTGTAGAAAAACTACTCCTTCTTCCCTCTGTCCTGTGTCACCTCCGACCCCCCAGTGAGGAGTTGTACAGTCTGAAGGCGTGGGGGACAAAGGAGTTCTTGAATCTATTGGTCCGGCACTTGGGAAGCAGCAGTCTGTCACTGAACAGGCTCCTCTGGCTGCTGATGACGTCGTGTAGAGGGTGGCTGCTATCGTCCATGATGTCCAGCAGTTTGTTCAGTGTCCTCGCCTCTGCCACCGTCACCAGAGAGTCCAGCTTCATGCCGACCACAGAGCCGGCACGCCTGATCAGTTTGTCCAGTCTGGACGTGTCCTTCTTGGATGTGCTGCCTCCCCAGCACACCACGGTGTAGAAGAGGACACTGGCGATCACTGACTGGTAGAACATCCACAGCAGTTTGCTGCAGATGTTGAAGGACCGCAGTCTCCTCCTTTTATTTCACCACTTTGACTTATTTAATATAATATTATAAATACATTAATACACTCCAATGAACAAACAATTCAAACTCCTTTAAACCAAACAGCATTTTATTGCATAAAGTCAATAACAGCATTTATTTAGTGAATGTTAATCATCTGTAGCAAAAGTTCAATCTGCAGATAAAAATCTCTCCTAACATCAAGTGAAAAGTTCTGCTTATTTTAACATTTTAACAGTGCAGGGCTGTTTATTGGTGCTTAAGAGAAGATTTGTTGTTTTATTTTACAGCTAAATCTTGAGGAGTTTTCTGACCAGATGAAGATGATCTCCTCCTCTTCCTCTCTCAGGATGAAGATGATGTCCAGCATCCTGCTGCTCCTCATCCTCAGCTCATGTCTCTGTGGTCAGTCTCCATCTTGTCTTTGTGACAGAAAGCTCTCTAGATGGAGCTGAAAGACTCCCATGTTCCAGTTCTCAGTGTGTCTGCTCCTCTCTTTCCCTCTCTGTCTCCTCAGCAGCAACATTTGTAGTGAATGTGACACAGAGCAACTATCAGGCAGAGGAGAAGCAGAACATCACTCTGGAGTGGACCTTCACCACCAAGACTCAGGGAACCTGGAAGAATCTGTTCATCTACTGCAGCTTATTGAGACCTGATAAAGAACGAGTTCTCTATCGGGTCCATAATGGAGTTGAGATTCCAGAGTCTCAGGATGATCAGTTTTCAGGACGAATCCAGAGCAACAAAGACGTCCTCAGAGAAGGACGAATCAGACTCCATGTGTCCAGACTGAGGACTGAAGACTCTGGTCTGTATCAGTGTGGAGTGAGAACTGAAGATGGAGTCAACTATGCAGAATGTCGACTCAAAGTCTTTGGTGAGTTTCTGCTTCATTTCACAACCTTAAAGTCTAAATGTTGTAAAACTGAAATAAAACTGAGAAAATTAACATGTGTAAAAGTATCTGATTAATCAAATCATCCAACTAAACTAAATGAAACTATATTGGACAATTATAAAACTAAAACATCCTCATATTATTGATAGTATGTCCTTTGGTTCTGTGTTTATTAATTTATTGTGTTTTTAATTCACACATCAGCAGATTATATCAGCTGTTGGTCAATGATCCTCCTGATTTCACTTCTGCTGGTCTGGAAAATAGTTTAGATAAAACTCCTGATTCTGTTGGTTGTTCAGAGATAATTGAACACATTTGAGGCCCTGCTCCTTGATGCCTCTACTGCCCTTTTTTAGTTGATATTAAGTTATTTTTATTTTTATCTGTATGTCAGGAGGCCTGCTTGTTCCCCTCAGCAATAATATTTAGCTAAATATAATAATTTAGCAAACTAAATTAGTCTGGCTGCCCTCAGTCTAATAATGGCTCTCAGTTTCTGTCTCCATGTCCATGGTGTTTATGTCTGTTCAGGTTGAGATGGAGTTTCACATGAAAGCAGCTCTTTAAACTACGAATACAACAGAGACACAATCTGTGCTGTCAGATGACTGATTATTTCTGATTATAACTCAGAAATAATCCAAATTAGAATGTATTTTTATTTATTTCCTACTTACGGAACATTTCTGTTTATATCAGAGGTTTTTTGTGCCTTTTTATCCTAATGGAAAAAATGTAAACTTCAGATATTTCACAGAGACATTAAGATTCATGGAAAAACCTCACATAATATTATATTAAAGCAGAAAGTACATCGGCCACCATAAGAAAGGCTTACAGTATTGAATTATGCTGCATAACTGACCAGTACAGGACTGGCAGGGGATGCAAAAGAGAAAAAAAAAATCTCCATGTCCCCAAGGGGGCGCCATAACTTCTCGCTCATGTCCTCTCTCTAAATAAAACTCACGTTTTCAAGCGTATTCTATTTGTTCATTTGGTTGGATAATATTTTTAGTTTTTATTGCAATTATTATCCTTTGCTTCTGCTTCAATATTCTTCCCTTCTCTAACTTCATTGTTGGCCCCAACTTGTATCACATACACACAAAGCATAAAGTTAAATGTCACTAAGTGAAACACATTATATAGATTAATTACACACTGATGGATGTTTGAAAGCCTTTAATTATTTACAGTTAATAAAAACTATGTTAATTGTATGTTCAATACCTGCTATGAGGTTATTTTCAATTAATCTGACAAATGAGATGTTGGAATAATTGTATAGAAGTTATCCCATGTATTGTTGTTTCTTGTATGTTGTTGAGTTAGTGCGGCCCCGGTGTGAAGTGTGTGCAAGAGTCGGTTTAACAGCGGGAGAGGAAGAGTAGTAAAGATCTCAACAAGATGGCTTTAAACTATTTAGTGCCGGTCAAAAGGTTGCACCAGCAACCAGTTCTTGTTTTTCTTACTATGTATGTTGGAATGCTGTAAAACTGTTACTGTGAAGATTAACTACTTATTCTGTTTGGTGTGTCCGGAACGAGATTATCACGTACAAGATAATTGTGTTGCACAGAAGGAGTGACAAACACAATACACATTCTCAAAGTACTGTCTTTGCATCTCCTGAGGTTACAGTTTGTTTGTTGTCTCTGGGGTCATAAAGTTCAGTTCCTGAGACTTTGGGTTGTATGCAAACGACCCATTCTTCCTATCAGACTGGACGTTGCTCTGGCCATCCCAGGTGACAGAATCATTGCTTCAAAGATAAAAGAAACACAAATCGATCCCAGGGGCATTGTATTCTCCTGGTCTTTGTATTTGTATCTAACACTTAGTTGGTAATTGAGAACTGGCACTGTAGCTGTGTGATGAATTGTTTACCCAACGCCTTTTAGAGCTACAGTGTCCTTGTGTAACCAGGGTGACCTAAGGAAATAAAAGACGTACTCAGAGTGTGTTGGAGATTGTAACTGATGTACGTCTCTGGGGCACTCTCCTCGCGAGTAAAACTTAACTGATGTGTTCTGTCTTTCTTTCCAGGTAGTGTTTTACTAATGTTAGGGGTTTAAACCTGACATGAGACTCATTGGGACAGATATTCTAATTTATTGAATATGACTGTAAATGTAGAATATTGAATTAATATTTATGATATGTAGACTACTGGTAAAATACATCTATTGTATTCTATTGTAAACTACAAATGTAAGAATGATAACAAAACATAATTATTCTAACAAATAACATTGTCATTCTTAATAAATGATGCTACTGGTTTAGTTCTATGGTGTGTTACAATTTAAACCATTTCTGGGGCCCCTGAATGTCTGAATGGCCCCTGAATGGCCCGTACCAGCAGCTTCTGAGTTTTCTGAGATCTTACATTTCTAGATCTCAGAGGTTCTAACATCAAACAATGATATAAAGTTTAACCCTTTGAGCTTTTTTGATCTGTAAATCAGTCTGCAGCCAGCTGTCAGTTATTGTTATTAGGGCTTAATTGGTCAAATGGCAGCAAAGTTGCTTATTTCATAACTTCATAACCTTTGACCTTTTTTCCGATGGTCAGATTACCAGCTACAGTCTCAGATCAACTCAGACCTCCAGCTCTGTCAGCAGCAGAAACAGAAACTTTATATCTGTTGGGGAAAATAGACGACATTTGCTTTGCATTTCCCCACATGATGGCAATGATACTGTATGATTCAATTAGACTCTTGATTAAAATAGGTTGTTGCTTTGTTGTTGTACAGTGTTTTTGTTCCATATGCCCTTTTTTAAATTTGAGCCCGTGACCCTCCAAAGGTCTCTGCACGGCCCTGTTCAGTTTCCTAATAAAGTGGATAGTGAACATGTAGTTTTTACAATGTAATTAAAGTATAAACAGGGCTGGACCAAATGGCTGAGAAATGTATCATAATGTCAGTCAATATCAGTCAATAGATAATTATTGATGAGTTTTTTGTATTACATATCTGATCTAACTGGTGATGTAATTGTTTCTGTTTTATTCAGTTTCCTCTTGAATTGTTGACTCCATCCATTTAAATCTGGGTAGCAGAAAACAATTACATTTTTGTATTAGATGCTCCTTACAATTGATACCAGAAGTGAAAACAGGCAAACAAGTTCATTTCCTGTTGAGAAATACGTCTTTTTTTACTCAGTACATAATCATAAGCTGTTTTTTTTAAGTAGTTGTATTTGATTATCAAAATATCACAGCGACCACATATTAAAGAATATTTACTTAAATGAAAAAGAAAATAATTGCCATGTTTTCTTTGGGTTGCTATGTCTTCTCCAGGGGACTCTATAGCGCCCTCTAGCGCCCCCTGGGTGCCACTGTTCTCATAGTGTATAAATAAATAATTACATTAAATGAGAGTTTCTGCAGCTCCAGACGAGTTTAACATGATCCCAGAAACATTTACCATGAGATCATCCCTGTTTGTTTCTGGGATAATTTGATACAAAAATTATTTTCTGTCTCGGTGAGTTCTACAAGTGGATCAGATTTCATGTCTCTACAGTAAAGTTAATGCACAGGGTGTTTTGAAGGTTGGTAGGTGGCGCTCTTGCACAGTTTATGTTGTGATTTTTGTGACAAAACTTCTATTAATGGGATAGATTCATTGTATTACAATTGTAAAGATCCTACAGGAGAATAAGTATGAATGTTAGTTGAACAACAAACAGGATTATTAGTGTTGATTTATTTTTATCTTTGTTTATTCTTCCAGTTCCAGTGAAGGTTGTTGGTCATGATCCGATACATGCAAAGGTTGGAGACGACGTTATTCTGCCATGTCATCTGGAGCCTCCATTTGATGTGAACAAACTTGCAATCGAATGGAGATTCAAGAGTCAAATAATACATGTACAACGCAGCCGAGCTAAAGATAATGAAGCTTCAGACCAAGAGTACATTAACCGAACCTCCATGTTCCCTGATGAGTTTAAAAAAGGCAACATTTCCTCAAATTGACCAAAGTAACCCAGGAGGATGAAGGGAATTATATTTGCTTTGTTCCCAAACTGCAAAGTCAAGTCAAGAAGGGAAACGTTGCTCTAATACTTGGTGAGTTTTATAAAATTAAAATCATTTAGACAAACTAGATAAATATATTAATGTCTATAACTCTTAATGTGATTCCTCAGCAGATAAAAATGGATCCCCAGACAGCTTTATTCTTCCTGAGGTAAATATTTTAACTAGGTAGTGGTTACTGGCCTCTGACTCAGTTTCAGATTTTCTTTGTTACCTGCAGCCATTGAGGCTCATTGGGTTGAATATTCATCTTCAGGCTTTTCCTGTTAAAACTGTTGATGTTCAGCTGGCAGATAAAACCTGAAGACCTGTGTGTGTGTGTGTGTGTGTGTGTGTGTGTGTGTGGGGGGGGTGTGTGTGTGTGTGTGTGGGGGGGTGTGTGTGTGTGTGTGTGTGTGTGCGTGCGTGTGTGTGTGTGTGTGTGTGTGTGTGTGTGTGTGTGTGTGTATGTGTGTGTTTGTGTGGGTGTGTGTGTGTGTGTGTGTGTGTGTGTGTGTGTGTGTGTGTGTGTGTTTGTTGTGGGTGTGTGTGTGTGTGTGTGTGTGTGTGTGTGGTGTGTGTGTGTGTGTGAAAACACCTGAATGATGAGGTGACTGTTGGTTCACAACTTTGATCTCATGAATAAAACAAAAATATGCAAAATATTCAAAAAATGGAATGTTATAAAAACCCGTTTTTCTTTTTTGTCACAGGACCTGATTCAAAAACAACAGCACCAACTGTTGTTGGTGCTGTTGTTGGTCTAGCAGCACTCATCATCATCATCACATACTGTGTTCTACGTCACCGGAGACGTGAACCAAGTAAGTCAGTCATCGTCTTTTTAAGTCATGCAGGATTTTGTTAAATTAATGATTATCTCCATAGATGCATATTTCCAATTGATAAAATATTGTTTTTTAATAGTTTGAAAAAACTGATCTGAAGCTGAAGAAAAGTAAAACTCTTGATAACATGAATATGAAAAGTTTCACATATTTAGTAATATCTATTGGTGTTTGACAGAAAAGAAAAGAAAATAAACTAAACCATTAAGAGTTTCCTTTTTTCTTTTAGGTCTTTGTTATTTATTGTAGCTTTTCTGCCTGATCAGGTTGATGAATCATTTTTACCAGTTAAAAACTGATGAGGAGAATTAAATATTGTCGCCTCATTTATATTGTGTGTTAAGACAAATATTCATTGTTACAATTTTTCCATGCTGGAGCAAAAACTCTCAACATGAACCAGTGAGAAATGATGAAGGTATGGAAATGAAACCATTCCAGATTAATAACTTATGTTCATTATTTCCTGTTTTATTTTCCTGCTCAGTGATAAACTAAGCAGTTACTTCATATAGATGTATGAATGTGTTTGTGTTGCTGCAGTCACTGAACATCACAGCTGAGCATCAAACCAGGAAGCTGAACTTCCTTGTTAGTGACTGAATGTGACTGACTAGATATTAGATCATTGATGTAGCAGCAATGAACTGGTGACCTGACTGGGTTCATCATGGCTCACCAGTATTCCCACTGACCTGAACAGGATATGAAGGTTTAGACCAGAGGGTCCAACCTGTGGATCCAGACGCACTAAAGAGAAACAGCCAGAAAACAACAACATTCATTCATAAAATGCTACAAATTAAACTATTATTTGCTGCACATAACTCAGATTTTCTCTTCTTTGTTGTGTTTCCTTCAACAGAGAAGCTGATAGCTAATAAATCATGTTTAAGATTATAATTAGAGCTTAATGAGAGACATTTCTTCTGCCTTCATTAAAGTTATATTCTTTTAATCTGACATCTGAATATACATTAAATATTCAGTTTAATATGAACATGTTTACATTTTTATTGTAATATACTTTGGTTTATAGATTGTTTTATTTTTGTCAACAAACATCTGGAAACAAATAAGAGACAAATAATTTCAGAAAAAGTCAAAACTTTAATGCTTTATTTTATTTTTTGCTGATTGATGATAATTTTATTTAGAAAAACTAAAATGACAGTTTGAGAAAAACACAATTCTGTTTTTCTTCAAGTCATCTTAATAATAATGTAACTTTGGGATGTTAAACAATCAGATGATGTTATTAATAAAATGTTTTGTGTTTCATAGATCGCAGAGAAAATGTCGACCCAGGAAATGAAGCTGAAGTAGAAATACCTTTACAGGATCAGAACAAAACTAAAGAGTCTGAATCTTCCACCTGATCTAAAGTCTCTTCAACCATTTGGTATGAAAACTGTTACAAGAATAGAAATGTGGATAATAATGTTACAACTGAATGCAATAAACCCAAAAAGAATTTATTCATATTAGGTCAAAGATTTAATCATCTTCTTTTGAGCTTAAAAAAAATGAAACAAGAATCCTGAAAGTTAAAGATCATTTCAAGTCCAAAGATGTTTCTGTAGCTTAGAGTTTCTTGCTCAACTTTTGATAAATGGTTTGTGTCAAGTTCTTTTCTAAATTGTGCAGCTTCCCCACTTGAGAAGAGATGGATGAATTGATGCAGACTTTTAAAACAGAAATTTACTCAAAGGACCAAGTTTTCTTCATTTTTATCCTCCATTTATTTAGTGCATGTCAGGATATTCCACATTTGGTCCAGAGCAGGTAAAAACCTTTGGACAAACCCAAAAGAAAAACAAAGATAAATAATTACTTAATTGTTTGTAAATTTACACAAATTAATTCCACTCAAACTACAAAGAAAATGACAACAAACCATATAAACAATACTAAGCAACCCACTGTGAATCAAACCTACAAAGTAACTAAAGTTAAATGAACAAGTAACTAAACTTAAGTTTCTTAACTTTAAAATACATTTCAAATTCATCTTTTCAGTAACATAATATTTACATTTATTTCAATATACAAACACCACTTTTCAATATTAGTCATAAATATTAGGTTCATAAATATAAATAGCTTTAAGATGTTATTCCTAATATAATGCTAAATTAATAAATAGCTAAGCTTAACATCTAAATTCATTTTTCAACAATACAACAATCAGTTCATTCATAAAATCAATCAATCAATACTACTTCAGGCGTGTTGTAGTTGATGGTGTTAATGAGCAGGTAAAGCTGGAAATCCGACAGGAGATCATGAGTAGCTTTGCAGTCCGATCTCATCAACAATAAAGCTGGAGTCTTACCGGCTGTCTCTCTGCTCGTCTACAAATTCATCCAGATCTGCAACTCGACCAGGACCTTTGATTGAAAGGGTCTACAACTCCCGATTTCTTTGTCTGGCTTTCTTTTCCGCTTTCTTTTCCACATTGTCCGTCCCTCATGTAAGTCAGTGTGGAACACAGTGAGCGCATTTTTTTTTTCCCAATTTGACTTCACAATTTGTATTGAAAAGTTTTAATTCATGCAAAAGTTGACAGACTTGATCTCCAGCTTGTTCCTTCAAAAGGTTTTAATTTAATTTCTGACAGTGAATCTTATTTTTTATTTGATTATTTTCTGTATTTTATTATAATTTTATTTTCTTGCTGTCCAGTTTTTCATTTTATGAATCAGCAGTGAATTCATTAGTTCATCTTTTCTTCCATCTCCAGTAGTTCTGTATATTTATTATTTCCTCCTTAAAACTGAAACATTCACATAGGAACAAATAACCTGAATATTTCTATGTACATCATCATACAGTGAATGTAAAAATAACATTTTGATGCTATATTTCTTTATAATCACATTATGTAAGATTGTTATTAAAATATCTTCTCAGGGTCATTTATTAACATAAAATAGGAAAATTAGAAATTGATCAATTACTTTATAAATAGGATCATAAACACAACAGATATTATTCTAACTTTAAGTCAGTTTAGTGACTTTTCATTACAGACACTAAGCTTGAGGAAGGTAGAGAAGTTTTGTTGATGAATATGAATTATGGTCTGGTAAGAATAAAGACTGTGTTCATAATTATCCACATGGTGGCGCTGAGTCAGCATGGGGGAAATAAAGAAATGTCTCTTCCACCAACACTGAACCCAGTGGAGGCTTGGAGCTTCTTCAGCCTGGTGAATCAATGAATCACTTGTTCATTTGAGTCAGGAAAACGGAAGCAGGGAGAAAATGCAGGACAAGGAGTTTTAAAGTCCCAGGCTGAGAAACCTGATTTATGATGAAGTGAATCAGAGTCACTGAAACTTTATCTAACTCTGGGCCAAAGTTCTGTTCATATTGAGAAAAGTCCATTTGCACTGACATTTTATTATCAAACCAATGAGACTTTTTATAATTCATTGAACTGAGTCTTAATATGGCTGTTTAATGTAGGAATAAATGGCTGCTGCAAAGTTATAGACTGAATAAAACTGAGCTCTTTATACTTTATACTAACATCTCAGAAATCAAATGGCTCTTCGTAAACATGATCCTCTAAACCAAAGAAATTAGAAAAATTATTATTTTTAGTGTTTTCCATTCTGTTTATGTTTTTTGCATCAATAAATGTTTTTGATGTTTAATGTGAACTGATGTTAAGCTTTGACTCTTGTCAATAAAAACCTTTTAAAACATTGTTGTATTTTGTTTTATTCAAGCCAAGTTCAATATGTGGCCTGAGATGTTTTGACTGTACAAAATGCAAATTAGTTTAATATGGAGGAGGAAGCAGAGCGGCCATTTTGTTAAAGCCAACCAGTTTATCCTGTTATTAGCAGCCAGTCAAAGGAAAAACAAACTGAAACATGAAGCCATTAATGAGTTATATTAAAAGTAAAAGTTATAGGAAGTTATGAATTATAACATTTAATCATTGTTTTTTCTTGTGGGTCAAAAGACCCATTAACATTTTCACCTGTAGAAAAAATACCCTAAACTATCTTTTTCAACTTGAAATTTTCAGAGTTCTCCTAAATTGACCCCATCATTAGAAAAAGTGATACTTTGTTGTTATTTATATTTCTATGTGGGC